GTCTTAACCACTGTGCCACCAGGGAAGTCCCAAAATGTCTATTTTTATAATTGATTTTAACTCATCACTTATATATGCCATCATCAATGTACATCAACCAATCAGGGGCAGGAACTACACAGGGGTTTTCTCCACTTGTCTTATAACACAGAACTTTCCACACAGTAGATACTCAAATCTTAGATGAATTGAATTGTAAGTTACATAAATTCTTTTTGAAAATGTTTATATATAATCTTAATCTTAGAGGATCTCAATATTTTGAGTCATAATAGGAAACAAAACAAAAAGAACACTATTTTTTGAGAGAAATCTAAATATTTCTTCATGTAAATACATAATTAAAACAGATTTAATTATATATATTCTGAAATTTTCATGTGGCAGAGACAAAGCTAGTACTTTCTGAGAAATTACAGGAAGGAAAAGTGGGAAATGAAGACTATAAAGTGAAAATAATTATTTCATGGAACGAAATGAATTCATTTCAAGAAACTAAACAACTGTATTGGACTTTTTAACACTTTATTCCGTCCTCACTTTATCTGACAGGATTGCCAGCAATGTGGGTTTAAAACAAAGGTAGTTTTACTTAGAAATAAATATCACCTTGTGCCAAAAGAGAAAATGTGCATGACAGAAACAAAAGCAAAAATAAACAAGCGGGACCTAATCAAACTTCAAAGCTTTCACACAGCAGAGGAAACCACCAACAAAACAAAGAGACAACCTACAGACTGGGAGAAAATATTTGCAAATGAAGCAACTGACAAAGGATTTATCTCCAACATATACTTGCAGGTCGTGCAGCTCAATATCAAAAAACCAAAAAACCCAATCCAAAAATGCGCAGAAGATCTAAATAGACATTTCTCCAAAGAAGACATACGGATGGCCAATAGGCACATGAAAAGATGCCCAACATCACCAATTCTTTGAAAAAGGCAAATCAAAACCAAAATGAGGTATCACCTCATACCTGTTAGAATGGCCATCATCAAAAAGTCTACAAACAATAAATGCTGGAGAGGGTGTGGAGAAAAGGGAGCCCTCCTGCACTGTTGGTGGGAATGTGAATTGGTGCAGCCACTGTGGAGAACAGTATGGTGGCTTCTTAAAAAAACTGCAAATACAGTTACCATATGATCCAGCAATTCCACTCCTGGGCATATACCCGGAGAAAACTAATTCAAAAACATATGTGCACCCCAATGTTCATAGCAGCACTATTTACGGTAACCAGGACATGGAAGCAACCTAAGTGTCCATTGACAGATGAGTAGATAAAGAAGATGTACATTTATACAATGGAATATTACTCAGCCATAAAAAAGAATGAATTATTGCCATTGGCAGAAACATGAATGGACCTAGAGATTATCATACTGAGTGAAGTAAGTCACATAAAGATAAATATTATATGATACCACTTATATGTGGAATTTTAAAAATAATACAAATGAACTTATCTACCAAACAGAAACAGACTCACAGACATAGAAAACAAACTCTTGGTTACCAAAGGGGAAAGAAAGGGGGAGAAAAATTAGGAGTATGGGATTAACAGATACATACCACTATATATAAAATAAACAGTAAGGAATTACCATATAGCATAGGGAACTATATTCAATACCTTGTAATAACTTATTATGGAAAAGAATCTGAAATATATATATATATATATATATATATATATATATATATATAACTGAATCACTTTGCTGTACACCTAAAACTAACACAATATTGTAAATCAACTATACTTCAATTAAAAAAAAAGAATGGACAAAAGATACAGGGAATGGATATTATTCAAATTCAATCAAACACAGTTTCTAAATTATAAGGCAAGTACAATAAAGGACTAAAACTTAGCTGGCTATAATTAAAAGGCACATACTCTTCTAGGCACCATGAAAATATCCCCTTGAATCTACGCATCAAATATGAGAGGGAGAGATTATTTTCTTCCATTTACTGTTGAACAACTGAGACAAAAACATACTGTATAGCACAGGGAGGTCAGCTCGGTGCTTTGCGACGACCTAGAGGGGTGGGATAGGGAGGGTGGGAGGGAGGCTCAAGAGGGAGGGGATATGGGTATGTATGTCCGCATGTGGCTGATTCACTTTGTTGTGTGACAAGGCTAGCACAGTACTGTGAAGCAGTTATACTCCAATAAAGATTAAAAAAAAAAAAAGGTACCCGGTAATTGCCCCAATCACACAACCAGTAAAGCGCAGAGCTTCTGCAAAAATCCAAGTCTTGCAAGCTATTATATATATAGTATGGATAAACAACAAAGTTGTACTGTACAGCAAAGGAACTATATTCAATACCTGGTGATAAACCATAACGGAAAAGAATACGAGAAAGAATATGTATGTATAACTGAATCATTTTGCTGTGCAGCAGAAATTAACACAACATTGTAAATCAACTCTACTTCAATAAATAAATTTTTAAAAAATCCAAGTCTTTTCCATATGCTACACTGCACTCCCCCACCCTCCATCATCCCAAATTCTTTTTTTTTAATTTTAGAATTTTATCTATTTTTTTATACAGCAGGTTCTTATTAGTTATCCATCTTATACATATTAGTGTATATATGTCAAGACTTGCCTCACGCACTGCATTGCTCTGGAGTTCTGATGTAGGGAGAAGTAATAAGACATAAAATTATTGGTTTCTGTTCATCTACTCTCTCTGTTTTCTTCTTTCCTCCCTTCCCTCTTTCCTTTCAACTTCCATAGTAATTGTTGATCCATAAGTCGCAATTCGAATTAATCCTACAGAGGATTAATATGTCAAGTATCTTCATGATGATGCATCTCTTTTAATAGCAGAAAATACTTTCTTTCAAAATATACAAATATTACATAAGATATGTCCTCAAGAAACATCAGGGTTTTCTTTTTTTCAGGAAAGAAACAAAATACTACTTCCAATATGCATTTCTTATCATTGTTTATTCTGAATAAATAAATGTATATGTGTGTGCTTTTATAAATAAAAATGCTTTTATAAAACCAGATAGATAAGATATAATGCGCTTAAGGTCTAGAACATCAGGATGGTCCACACACACATATAAATTCTTGTTGTTGACATGAACTGAAAAACAAACAAAAATATGTAGCTATATAGGCTCCTTTTCTTGCACAGATAAAGTGGATTTTTCCAAAAACACCATCAAATCCGTTGTCTTAGGATGCCAAGCGGTTGCAGGACAAAAGGTTCTATTACTCCTTCTCTGCCTCTCTAATTTCATACCCCGTGTCAGGAAGTATTTATGTACAGATTGTCTAATTGTCACTAGATCATCTTCATACTTTAGTATGTAAATCTCCACGACAGAGTTCAAAGGAGGCCTTTCTGATACAGACACGTGCTTTAGAGGTACTGCTTTCTACCCTGTCTCAAATATACTTTCCTTTTGTTCATAAAATGCTCACGAATTTCAAGGGCAGAAAATGACATCAACTGTGTCAGGCAGAAAGGGCCCCAGCAAAGATGATTCCTGGGCTCTTTGTGTTCATTTATGGCGTTTTAGGACATTGATCATGTAAATGTGTGCTTGCGGAATTTTAAGGTCTGATGTATCCTGTTGGAGGGGGAACGGAAAAATTTACTAATCAGACTCGGGTCATTACCTGCCTAACTTAAACTTGGATGATCATTTTTTTTTTAAATAATTGAAAGCTGATAGAGAGCAGTGAAGGGAGATTTATAATAGGATGCAAACTTCATTTTTAAGCCTCTGTCTGAGGGCACTGATAGAATCAAATACTTTTGCGTTCTTTGAAGAATATAAATTGTTTCATGGCTGGCCGTTCCCTGGGACTTGGTTATTCACTGTCGGGGATCAAAGATAAGGACTGGGGTGTTCAGCTGAAATGAGAGGTGTGTACAGTGTTGATAAAAATCAGAGGCCCTTCTGATACTAATGGGCCCATCAAACAGCTCCCAAATACAAATAGCTTCCCCAGCTCTTTGGAATCAAGCAACTTCACTTTCTTAGAGGCGAAGGAATTGTCCTACCTGTCCTGCCTTCCAAGATGGGGCCAGGCTTCGGGGTATTATGCAGCTAGCTTTTCTGGGGCACAGGGGAGCTTTCCTTCAATACATCCCCTGGAAACAGCAAAGACTTTTAGGATTCCACTTTGGAATTCTGCTATCATGTACTGCTCAGACCAGGGGAAAACTAAAGGAAACTCTTAATCTTTCATGCTTCTTCCCAATCTAGCATTTGTAATAGATATGGGTTTCAGGTGAAGTGGACGGGTATGGATTCCATACCCGATTCTAAATCGGTTTTGCTCACAGTAACATGTTCAGATTTGATTAATAATGAGATGACTTGAGTATAGCACAGAGAACTCTTCTCAATATTATGTAACAACCTAAATGGGAAAAGAATTTGGAAAAGAATAGATACATGTATATGTATAACTGAATCACTTTGCTGTACATCTGAAACTATCACAACATTGTTAATCAGCTATACTCCAATATAAAATAAAAAGTTAAAAAATATATATATATATATAAATTAATGAGATGACTTGTAAGGGAACATTGTTACATGTGGTCCACTCTGGCCCACAGTGCCCTTTACTAGTCAACCCTGAGTATTTGGGAAAATGTTGGCATGTCCCTCCTAAAGAGTTATTAGCAAGTTTCCTTAGCATTCGTCCTAGTTACCCTAAGTCCTATGGAAATATTTGCTTTTGTTCTATATTTATTTTTCTGACTCAGACAATATATCAGCATTCCTCTGCTTAAAATGAAAGATGGTATTCTTTGGGAAATTTTGTAGCAACTTGAGAATAGATACAGATTTAGATGTCCATATACAAATATTAGGCTACACACACAGAGCTGCACACAAAATCTGGTATAAACCACTCAAAGCAAACCACAAACATTTACCCCTCACTCCGTCTCCATCAAAAGTCTCAACTCCTGTGCTTCCATCAACCACCCAACCCCACAGAAACAGGCCCACATCACTTACCTAAGACAGAATCAGCACTATTTGCTTTGCTTCAGGACCTCAGCCTTGTCAACACGGACGGTTCACACATGTGGAGCTGGGGGGCCAGGAGCAATACAGCTGGAATCTGTGAGTTCCTGTAATTAGTCTTCATCCCTCAGAGGACAGTGGAGGAAATTACAGTAAGTGAGGTTTCCTAATTTTTCCAAAGTTGCAGAGTTCATCCCATTAATAAGAGGGCAAACTGAGACAGTGTACACCTACAATGAATATAATGTGATATGTCAGTTATCTCTCAAGTAAACCAAAAAAGAGCAAAGGTATTAAAATCTAGTTCTTAGCCTTCCAGCTCTCTCTCTCCACTCAGAAAAAAACTGACTGAGTTTCTCATGTGTGTGAGGTCTTTAGCTGAGTTCCATTGATGAATTAGGTGACTAAAATAGAACCAGTCCCTTTCCTAATGGTATTTGGGGAGACAGATGGTAAACAAGAAATTAAAAGGTCGTTTAAGTTCCATGGTAGGAGAAACACTGATTTCAGAGAGGGCTACATGCCCCTGTATGGCTTGAATGGATTGTAGGAGAAATTATAATGCATGACCACATATATTTATTCTAATCAGGGCACTAATCCTGAGTGAGGACCCCACCGTCATGAATTCATCTAAATCTAATCAGCTCCCCATGTCCAAACACCATCATAAGGGGGGTTAGCACCTCAAAATATGAATTTGGGGAAACACAGATATTCATCCAGATCATGTTTATAATGTACGTCTGTTCCTCAGAAAACTAAAAACAGAATTACCATATGACCCAACAATCCCACTCCTGGCCATATATTGAGACAAATCTATAAACTGAAAAGATACATGCATCCCTACGTTCACTGCAGCACTATTTACAATAGCCCAAACATGAAAACCACCTAAGTGTCCATCGAGAGATGGATGGATAAAGAAGATGTGGTACATGTATACAATGGAATATTACTCAGCCATAAAAAAGAATGATATAATGCCATTTGCAGCAACATGGATGGACTTAGAGATGATCATATTAAGTGAAGTCAGTCAAAGACATATATCATCTGATATCATTTATAGGTGGAATCTAAAAACGGCACAAATGAACTTATCTACAAAACAGAAACAGACTCACAGATGGCGAGAACAGGTTTGCGGTTGTCAAGGCGTGGCAGGGGGAGGGAGGGATGGATTGGGAGTCTGGGATTAGCAGACGTAAACTAGTATATATAGGATGGATAAACAATGAGGTCCTACTATACAGCACAGGGAACTATACTCCATATCCTATGATAGGGGCTTCCCTGGTGGCACAGGGGTTAAGAATCCGCCTGCCAATGCAGGGGACACGGGTTCGAGCCCTGGTCCGGGAAGATCCCACATGCCGTGGAGCAACGAAGCCCGCGTGCCACAACTACTGAGCCTGCGCTCTAGAGCCCGTGAGTCACAACTACTGAGCCGCACACCTAGAGCCCATGCTCTGCAACAAAAGAAGCCACCGCCATGAGAAGCCCATGCACTACAACAAAGAGTAGTCCCTGCTCGCCACAACTAGAGAAAGCCCGCGTGCAGCGACGAAGACTCAACAGAGGCAAAAATAACTAACTAAATAAAATTTTTCTTTTAATTAAAAACAAGAAAAAAGAATGTCTCTGTGTGTATAACTGAGTCACTTTGCTGTACAGCAGAGACTGGCACAACATTGTAAATCAATTAGACTTCAATAAAAAAAAGTATGTCTAGATACATTGGATATATTTATTTATCATAAATATAACTATTTTATGCATAATATGCATTTATACTTAATACAAATATTTGTGTTTTATTTATATACATAAGTATATATGTATATGCAATACGTATGGATATACACATTGTATAAAACATATATGCACACATCACATACATATGTGTACCCTTGCACGTGTGCCATAATGAATCAAGCTTCATGCTCGCATGGGGCCACCTGGAATGCAGCTTTCTGAATTAGATGAGACAATTCCATTCTAACCCGATATACTGAGCATTTCCATCCTGCCCAAATGCATCAGACAGAAAGATGAAAAGAGCACTTTTGCTGATCCCGATGTGTTCACAATCTCCTGGGCAGAAAGAGCTTGTTCTGTATTGCCTGGACGTGCACATGGATGGACTTCTAGCAGAAAAAGGATGTCTGAGGTTAGGGACTGGGGCGGACCCAAAGCGCCCAGTTAAAATAAACCAGTATTTATTTACGAAGGCCCTGCTATGTACCAAGTGTTTTCTATGTTTCACCGCATTCTATAGTTTTTGTAGTCTTGGAGATATTACTATCCTGGTTTTAGTGGAAAGGAAAACACAGCACAGAGAATTGACGTAAAGTTGGGACTGGAGAACTGGTAAGTCGGGGCCTGATTAGAACGCAGCTGTGCTTGCCACCCACTGCCATCAGCTTCCCTCCACCAGCGGTTTGCAGCCTGTGCTCCTCTGAGCCTTGAGATTCCACAGAGGAGGGAGACCCAGGGACCGGGGAACAAAGCCCTGGATTTTTCTGTCACGTGCTTTTGGCTCAGCGTGCAATCCAATTGGGAGAAGATCCCACTGCTACGTCTGCATTTGGAATCCACGTGGCTGCACCATATTAAGGTCTGAGAGGCACATCCCATACCCATCTGTACCCCGGCTTTCTGTGTCCTTTTAGAATCATTGGATCCATGCTATCTGTATAATCCAGCATTCTAGGTTTCATTTTATGAGGGTCCTTCTAATCTTCAGGGTCCCTGCTCAATGATTTATTATCGGTCGATAAGATATGCTTTTGTTTCGAAACAAAATCAGGGACATAGAGAACAGACCTGAGGTTGCCAAGGGGGAGTCGGAGTAGTGGCAGGATAGACTGGAGGGATGGGTTGGGGGTCTGGGGTTAGCAGCTGCAAACTAGTACAGATAGGATGGATAAACAAGGTCCTACTGCAGAGCCCAGGGAACGATATTCAATATCCTGTGACAAACCATCATGGAAAAGAATACGTGTATGTGTATATATCTATATTATCTATCTATCTATATATATATACACACACACACACACACATATATATATCATGTATAACTGAGTCACACCGTAATTCAACTATACTTCAATAAAAAAATTTTTAAAAAGAAGGTATACTTGTCTCCCTTTTTCCTATAAAAACTAAGGCATGGTCCCAACTTAATGATCCAGGGGAAAAGATACATAAAAACAACTTAACCAAAGAACAGAACTGACACGAAGGGTCCTGCTGATGTGATGCGCTCTCGGTAACTGTCAGAGCCAGGCTAACCACCGGCCTCTGAATTTGTCTTAGCTGGTGGTTATCAGTAAGCACTGGACAGGTCTCCAAGGACACCATGGTGTCTCCCCACAGCCACAGCATTCTCTTTCCCTACCCTCGCTTTGGAGGGTCTATTTTATAAACTCCGTATCTTCCATCCCCTCAAGGTAAGTGAAAGGCATCACTGATCTGTTTCATGTTCTAAAGCAGAAGGTTCTCCTGGGGTCAGGGGGCAGGACAGAAGACACTAAGATTTTTCTTTCTTAATGATATATTTATGCAGCTAAGCTGTAAGAGCAGTATTTTTAAAACAGTCCTCATTTTCCCTAGCCAAGGGGTGTGATGTTGACTAAGTCCAGTGGACCGGTGGCTTTTGAGGAGTGCCTCTGTCAACATCACTACCTAAAAATATCCTTTTCCTCCTTTATAAACTATTTTAGTCCTATTTCCACGACTCCTGCCCCCTGAACGCCAGTCTGGAAATCCTAGTGGCAGTGTGGCTAAGAACGTCGCCTGCCATACCAGCGAGCAAAGATGTTGCAGCCACCAAGCCCTCAGTCACTGCAGCCGCCCCGCTGAGGGCATTCAGGATGGAGAAAAACAGGATATTGGCCCCAGAGAACTAAGGTGCATATCAAAGGAATGATTTCAACGAGACCAGACTCTCGCATCTTCCCATACACAGAAATGCGCTCCATTCATGAACTTGAGATGTCTGCTTCTCTCTAGTTAAATTAACAGTGAACTTTTGATGTTGGCAGAAACCCCTACATATCCAGGCTCCTCCCCTACCTTTTTGGAGCAGTCCCTCAGAGCTATCTGAGACACTGCTTGCTGGGCTTAAGTCCTCAGAAACTCCGCCAAATACAACATAATTCTCAACTTTCAGGTTGTGCTTTTTTTTTTTTTTCAGTTGAGAGCAGCAACTGTCTACATGGGGATCAGAAATGATTCCATGGACAAATGCATTTGAAATGTTTGCTAATCAGACTATGCTGATGGATTTTAGTTGTTTTTTTAAAAATTTTTGTTGGAGTATAGTTGATTTACGATGTTGTGTTAGTTTCAGGTGTACAGCAAAGTGAATCAGTTAGACATATACATATATCCACTCTTTTTTTAGATTCTTTTCCCATATAGGCCAGTACAGAGTATTGAGTAGAGTTCCCTGTGCTATACAGTAGGTCCTTATTAGTTATCTATTATATATATAGTAGTGTGTATACGTCAATCCCAATCTTCCAGTTTATCCCTCCCACCCCTTACCCCTTGGTAACCGTAAGTTTGTTTTCTACATCTGTAACTCTATTTCCATTTGTAGATAAGTTCATTTGTACCCTTACCATATGATCCAGCAATCTCATTCCTGGGCCTATATCCGGAGGAAACCATAATTTGAAAAGGTACATGCACCCCAATGTTCATAGCAGCACTATTTACAATAGGCAAGACATGAAAGCAACTTAAATGTCGATCGACAGATGAATGGATAAAGAAGATGTGGTACATATACACAATGGAATATTAGCCAAAAAAAAGAAAGAAAGAATGCCATTTGCAGTAACATGGATGGACCTAGAGATGATCATACTACGTGAAATCAATCAAAGACAAATATCACATGATAGGACTTACATGTGCAATCTAAAAAATGGATTTTCGTTTTATAGAAAAAAGGTATGTACACATTTCCCTAGTTGTTCACTGTCGTGTATGAGGTAGGTTTTGAACGCTGCATTTAATATCACTAATACATCTCCTTAGAAGAACTGTTTGCATGAATTAGAATCCATTCCCACCAGCTCCCCAGTGTGGAAAAACACGAACGTGAACGTGACAGCTACTAAAACAAACTAAAACAAAACGAAGGACAATGAATTTTTTTTTTCTTTAAAAATAATTTAACAGGGCTTCCCTGGTGGCGCAGTGGTTGAGAGTCCGCCTGCCGATGCAGGGGACGCGTGTTCGTGCCCTGGTCCGGGAGGATCCCACATGCCGCGGAGCGGCTGGGCCCGTGAGCCATGGCCGCTGAGCCTGCGCGTCCGGAGCCTGCGCTCCGCAACGGGAGAGGCCACAACAGTGAGAGGCCCGCGTACCGCAAAAAAATAAAATAAATAAATAAATAAATAATTTAACAGGATAATTCACTTTTACAGTCTTAGTTGAATGTATTATCGAAATTCTCCCACCGAAGGCTGCTTGAATTGAACATGGAATACGAGCAGTGTGTTTAGTGCTCTCTGCAAAGTGTACTGATTCAGTATGTGGGCAAATAAGTCCTCCTGTTCATGACCACAATCAAAGGATCATCAAAGTGTCTCCCTAGCATTATGTTTTGTTAGCCAGTACACAGAAGTACATGGTGTAATTAAAAGTCCCCTTTTTTTCTAGGACAGGAAGAGGAAGGAAGGGGACAAAAAAACATGAGAGGCAGGAGGTAGGAAGTCAGGAGGGAAAACAAGAAAAATCTCTGGGAAGATATTTTTAATAACGGGAGAGAAACAAAAACAAAAACAGACATACCTGCACATTTGTGTCCAGATGTGGCATGATTCATTGGCCCCGGCTTTGGAAATGAGTTTCTGAGAGGCGCTGACTGTTGTAATGGTCCCTTCCCTTGGGGCTACCGTGGACTCCACACTCCTAAGTCCACCTGCCCACAGGGAAGTGATTTCTTCTGTGTCTGCAAGTCTGAAAAACCACATAAGGTTATCTTTAAAAAACACCTGAAATCGTTTTGTTGAATGAAGGGCAAGTTTTAAATTTACTCCAAATAATAATTCTAGGATTAATTAATTCTAGCTAATTTCATGGCTTTTTGATCTTTAACTGATATTCCAAAATTATAACACGTATCAGTAGTAAACTTAAGTATCTTATATTTACCTATAAACATTTAACTATATATGTAATTATATATATAATCTATCAGTCATCTATCTATACGTCCATCTTATGTATCCAGCCATCCATCTTACCTATCTTGTTTCTATCTATATATATATATCCATCTATCATCTATCAATCCATCTAATAATCTATCTATCCATCCATCATATCTATCTATATGCATACACATCAGCTATATAAAGAAAATTCACTCTCGAAATGACTGCCTATTTCTTCAGCATGCACGTGTCCCAGGAAAGATTTCCCCCAAATCTGCAGAGTGTTTGAAATATTCTGACCAAAACTACAGGGGATGTGGCACACCAGAAGCCATTTGGGGCACTCTGAGGGCCCCTCGAAGAACCCAACTGCCTTTGCAACCTGCATTGACATGGAGAGAGAGTCCCCTTCTGGTCAGGAGAGATGTGCTCATTTTAAGCCTCTCTGGGCAGAGAAAACCATCCAGGAGTTCTTCTAGGGGCCCTGAATCACAGGGTCTTACCAGGGAATAAGCTCTGAATTGCAGCTGCTGGTGACTGAGCTGATTCCTCTCCATCCCCTCCCTGCATCGAGGTTGCCTTAGGGAAAGCAGCAGCTGGATGTGTTTACGAGGCATCTGTAAATGATTCTCCCGGGCTAACACTAGCATGGCCCGCTATTCAGTAAATAAAATGCAATCTCTCCAGGCTGCGCCGGTTGCCTCGCAGGACTGATATCTACCTGGAGGCTAGCAGAGCTCTATCCAATTTTGACCATGAGGAATTATATTCCAGATTTGATTTGAAGCTGGAATACCATACTCTTGAAATAATGGCCTGGATGACCATAGTTTATGTTATAACTCTATCTCCCGTTGTTAGAAATAAAATCTCTTTCTCAAAATAAAGATACAGTGGTATCAGATCAAATGTGGCAGAGAACAAAGAGAAATACGCTGGTCCAGGGACAGCGTCGAATGAGCACAGGAGGCCATGTAGAATCTAGAAATATAAAGAGCTTTCTCGCCGCAGAAATGTAGCAAGTCAGTTACTCTGGTTGTTTGTGGATCTTACAGAGGGAGATGACCCTGGATATTAAAACATGAACCAAGATGACTTCAACCCTCATTTACCTTCCCATTCAAGAGAGATCACTTCTGCATAGTGAATTAAATCAGGGGGCTGGGAGCTCAAATGTAATCATGTTTTGTGGACCTCAAGACCTCTTGCATAGAATCACAGCAAACAAAGGGTTCAGTTCAGACCCTGAAACTAATTACTGGACAGTCTCTCTGCAAAAACACCACCCTGCAGTTTCTGAATGTGAAAAAATGGGCACAGACTTCAGACCTGTGGATATTCATATGTTTTCACATGCAACCATATGCTCCTTGCTGAGGTTTTCAATCCATTTTATGAGAGCACGCACACACACACGCGCGCGCACACACACACACACACACACACACACACGGTAATGAATGTCTCATATATTTCCTCCAATGAATTCTCGTTCTGTCCTGAAACAGGTACTTGTCTTTAGAAATAATCTTTGTATACTACTAGAATCTAAATAGGAAGAGATGATCAAGATAGTTATTTGTGGGAAATACTGTGTGTAATTCATGTTTAACTAAATATGTGCCCGTTGTCAGGTAGTACAATGAACAGCTAATGGGTAGGGTGCTTTGGAATTTGCACAGTCCTTTGGCAGTGCTTATGTCCAGAATTAGTTTTCAAATGTGGATCCAAGTCACCTCCTATGGTTACGAATCAGCCATAAGTCCATGGGCGAGTTTCTTCCTCCTTCTAATGTCCCCTGTTCTAAGGTACAGACATGCTATGTAGATAAGAATTAACATGTGTAGAATATGTGATGTAAAATCTGGTGATGGAGCCTATTTGGATGACGAGGAGATGAGAAGGAAGAAGATACTGAAATACATTTGCTCTCTTGGGCAGAATTCCTGTGAGGCAGCACCTGATGCATGTGACTTATTCATAAAAGATTGTAAGCAAGACATTGCCAGGAGATTGATTCAATATGGCGGAGTAGAAGGACGTGCTCTCACTCCCTCTTGTGAGAGCACCGGAAACACAACTAACTACTGAACAGTCATCAACAGGAAGACATTGGAACTCACCAAAAAGATACCCCACAACCGAAGGCAAAGGAGAAGCCACAATGAGATGGTACGAGGGGTGCAATCACAGTAAAATCAAATCCCATAACTGCTGGGTGGGGGACTCACACACTGGAGAACACTTATACCACAGAAGTCCACCCACTGGAGTGAAGATTCTGAGCCCCACATCAGGCTTCCCAACCTGGGGGTCTGGCAACAGGAGGAGGAATTCCTAGAGAATCAGACTTTGAAGGCTAGTGGGAATTGATTGCAGGAATTTGACAGGACTGAGGGAAATAGAGACTCCACTCTTGGAGGGCACACACAAAGTAGTGTCTGCATCAGGACCCAGGGGAAGGAGCAATGACCCCAGGGGAGACTGAACCAGACCTACCTGCTAGTGTTGCAGGGTTTCCCGCAGAAGCAGGCGTGGGGGTGTGGCTGTGGCTCACCGTGGGGACAAGGACACTGGCAGCAGAAGTTCTGGGAAGTACTCCTTGGCATGAGCCCTCCCAGAGTCCACCATTAGCCCCACTAAAGAGCCAGGGTAGGCTCCAGTGTTGGGTTTCCTCAGGCCAAACAACCAACAGGGACAGAACGCAGCCCCACCCATCAGCAGACAAGCAGATTAAAGTTTTACTGAGCTCTGCCCACCAGAGCAACACCCAGCTCTACCCACCACCAGTCCCTCCCATCAGTAAACTTTGCACAAGCCTCTTAGATAGCCTCATAAACCAGAGGGCAGACAGCAGAAGCAAGAAGAACTACAATCCTGCAGCCTGTGGAACAAAAACCACATTCACAGAAAGACAGACAAAATGAAAAGGCAGAGGGCTATGTAACAGATGAAGGAACAAGATAAAACCCCAGAAAAACAACTAAATGGAGTGGAGATAGGCAACCTTCCAGAAAAAGAATTCAGAATAATGATAGTGAAGATGATCCAGGACCTCAGAAAAAGAATGGAGGCAAAGATTGAGAAGACGCAAGAAACATTTAAGAAAGACCTAGAAGAAAAAACACTTAGAAGAATTAAAGAACAAACAGAGATGAACAATACAATAACTGAAATGAAAAATACACTAGAAGGAATCAATAGCAGAATAACTTAGGCAGAAGAATGGATAAGTGACCTGGAAGACAGAATGGTGGAATGCACTGCTGCAGGACACAATAAATAAAAAAGAATGAAAAGAAATGAAGACAGCCTAAGAGACCTCTGGGACAACATTAAATGCAACAACATTTGTATTATAGGGGTGCCAGAAGGAGAAGAGAGAGAGAAAGGACCTGAACAAATATTTGAAGAGATTATAGTCGAAAACTTCCCTAACAAGGGAAAGGAAATAGCCACCCAAGTCGAGGAAGCACAGAGAGACCTAGGCAGGATAAACCCAAGGAGAAACATGCCAAGACACATAGTAATCAAACTGACAAAAATTAAAGACAAAGAAAAATTATTGAAAGCAGCAAGGGAAAAATGACAAATAACATACAAGGGAACTCCCATAAGGTTAACAGCTGATTTCTCAGCAGAAACTCAACAAGCCAGAAGGGAGTAGCATGACATATTTAAAGTGATGAAAGGGAAGAACCTACAACCAAGATTACTCTACCCAGCAAGTATCTCATTCAGATTCGATGGAGAAATCAAAAGCTTTACAGACAAGCAAAAGCTAAGAGAATTCAACACCACCAAACCAGCTCTACAAAAAAAGCTAAAGGGTCGTCTCTAAGTGGGAAACACAAGAGACGAAAAGGACCTACAAAAACAAACCCAAAACAATTAAGAAAATGGGCATAGGAACATACATATGGATAATTACCTTAAACTTGAATGGATTAAATGCTCCAACCAAAAGACACAGGCTTGCTGAATGGATACAAAAACAAGACCCATATGTATGCTGTCTGCAAGAGACCCACTTCAGACCTAGGGACACATACAGACTGAAAGTGAGGGGATGGAAAAAGATATTCCATGCAAATGGAAATCAAAAGAAAGCTGGAGTCGCAACACTCATATAAAATAAAATAGACTTTAAAATAAAGAATGTTACAAGAGACAAGGAAAAACACTACATAATGATCAAGGGATCGATCCAAGAAGAAGATATAACAATCATAAATATATAATGCACCCAACATAGGAGCACAACAATACATAAGGCAAATGCTAACAGCTATAAAAGAGGAAATTGACAGTAACACAATAATAGTCAGGGACTTTAACACCTCACTTACACAAATGGACAGATCATCCAGACAGAAAATTAATTAAGGAAACACAAGCTTTAAATGACACAAGAGACCAGATAGATTTAATTGATATTTACAGGACATTCCATCCGAAACAGCAGATTACACTTTCTTCTCAAGTGCACATGGAACATTCTCCAGGATAGATCACATCTTGGGTCACAAATGAAGACTCAGTAAATTTAAGAAAATTGAAACCATATCAAGCATCATTTCTGACCACAATGCTATGAGATAGGAATCAATTACAGGGAAAAAAAACGTAAAAAACACAAACACATGGAGGCTAAACCAGACGTTACTAAATAACCAAAAGATCACTGAAGAAATCAAAGAGGAAATCAAAAAATACCTAGAGACAAATTACAAGGAAAACACGATGATCCATAACCTATGGGGTGCAGCAAAAGCAGTTCTAAGAGGGAAGTTTATAGCAATA